TTGGTCTACCACATCAGACAGTTTGAGAACTACTGGATTGGACCATCACTTAAGGCTGTAGCAAAGCTCACAAAAGTTACTCTTTTGGACTACAGAAATGGTTAGCTAGGAGATTCTGGAGCTGTAATCCAAAAAAAATATTAATGCTTCCAAGTGTTTTGTTTAAAGACTTGAAAGACAGTTCTACACACTTATACAACCCATACTAGAAGCATACTAGGGTTGTAGTGGAGAAAGATAACTTTTCCAAGCTCTTGGTTGGAGACATCCCTGACTGCAGGATGCCAGACATGGCATGAGAGGTATGTGTTTTCATGCCATTGTTGTTTATGATAAACTGTTTTTCCAGGCTTCTGTACTAAATTTACTACTTAAAAAAAGTGTCACTAAGGAAAACAACTACAGAAATCTGGAGAACCTGTTGGGATTCTATTGGGATGAACTGCATTAAAAAGTACAACATAAAGCTCCTGATGCAATATCGTAAAGAAAGATGGTCATAGCTCAGATCAATAAGAATACCTTAGAGAAGGTATAGACACGGTCAGATTACAGGAGTGGGTTTGGAAAAGTAAGAATTTAATGAATAAATATTAATAAGACAATAATATAATTATACAATAGAGCTCAGTCAAACATGTATAAAGTTTATAGGAGTTAAAAATTGATTGTACAACAAGATGACAACTGAAGGAAGAATAAGATATCAGCTATGCTTACTATAATACATGCGATTGACAAGCTGATGAGAAGATAGAAGATAAAATTTACATGTTAAGTTTTGTTTTGTATGAAATGTATGTTTTGAATGGAAGTGTAAGATGTTGGTTTGTGTTTAGATGTTACACATTGTAAATGAAATCAATTTTTTTAAATAATAATAATTTAAAAAGTGCAACATAATTTTTTTAAAACAATAAAATTATTCAAATAATCACAATATGCAATATAACTTATGGTACCCATTCTGCACTACTCTACCCCACTCCACTCCATTCTCCTCTCCATCTA